CTGTAAGGCTCACAGAAATAGAATTTTGCGAATCAAATAAACAAACCAAAATTCGGCAGAAGGCATTTTGGACCCCACAGCAATCCTACTTAGAGCAGAGTCCTTTTGTAATGGAAATGATCTGTCCCTTTGCCTGCTTGCTGTTCTTGAGTTCACAGCTCTCTCAAAGTCTGTCTGTACAAAATGTGTGTAAATAGATTTTTCGGGACTGTTTAAAGCACTCATATAATCCATTAGACTCTTTTCTTAAACACTACTTTGTATGTATGCTTGCCTGTATGTGAGCATGTGTTTGCATGTGTGTGGGGGGCAGGGATCCAAACCATGTCCTCGGAAGTGGCAGCATGTGCCTTTACCCACTGAACAATCCCACTCTTCCCCCACTGGGTTTTTATAAAGTAGATTTATTTTTATTTATGAATGTTTGTGAGTGCTGCATGCACCCATGTGTGTGTGTGTGTGTGTATGTGCGTACCACGTATGTATGAATGACATTTAATTTTTAAACAGACAAGAAACTGGAAGAAACGATGGCCTTCGTGGGAGTCCTAACAAAAGCAGGCTTGGCGAAAGGTGAAGGTCAGAGTGTCACCACCCAGCAGGGATGCAGATGTTCTAGAAACACTGGTACCCATTGCTCTGGCTCTCAGTCTACTGAAACAAAGGACCCCAAGAAAGTGGGATCTCCCCAGAAATTTCATGCCAGAGAGAAAGCTTGGAGCCTGCACTAGCCAGAGGGAGGTTTCTCTCCTGGGAAGAGATTGGCTGGTTAGCCCACCTTATGGGGAGACAATGATGGGTCAGTGGTGGGTACCACACCTTGTCCTAGACTGCTTAGCTATGCTTGATTCTGGCCCTCTACTAGATCTTGACCTCATGTCTGGACCCTGTAGATGAACATACAGGGCTGTGCTGGATAGTTTTAGTCAACTTGACACAAGTTGAAGTCACCCAAGAGGAGAAAACCTCAATTGAGAAAATGCCTCCAAACACTGGGCTGTAAGCAAGTCTATAGGGCATTTTCTTTCTTTTTTTTTTTTTTTTTTTTTTTTTTTTTATAGGGCATTTTCTTAATCAATGCTTGATGGCAGGGGCTCAGCCCATTGTGGGTGGCTTTAGCCCTGGACTGGTGGTCTTGGGTTCTATAAGAAATCAGGCTGAGCAAACCCTGAGGAGCAAGCCAGTAAGTAGCATTCCTTCATGGCCTCTGCATTAAATTCGTGCCTCGAGGTTCCTGCTTGTCAGGAGCCATTTCCCCTCTAAAAATCATTACAGAAACCATCACCCTAGGGAGTCTGCAGAGAACCCCACACCCATAATTATGTTCTATTGAGAAAACCTGCCCCTCACCCAATTAACTGTTAATCTGTTAGCGGAACCCGCCTCACATTCCAGCTATCCAGGGAACTAGGTGTGGCAACTTGTGACTCTTGGCTTACCTGACCGAGCTACGTGACCGGGACCACGCGCATCCCGTGCCCTGCCCACCAGGTCCTCATGCAGGGCCTATATAAGCAGCAACCATGACCCTAATAAACGGAGGCTTTGACAAATCTGCTTGGCCTCCTTCTTCTGTCTTAGCTCATTCCCTTCCAGGTAGCACCCCTCTGAGACCCCTAGACTGAGTAACCCACCCAACGCAATCGACACCTGCTCTGCTTGGATTCCTGCCCTGACTTCCGTTGATGATTCACTGTGATGTGGAAGTGTCGGTTGAATGAGCCCTTTCCTCCCTGGCTTGCTTTGGTCATGGTGTCTCATCATGGAAGCAGCAACTCTAACTAGGACAGAGTGTCAAGGATCTCTTTGTCTCTCTCTCAGTGAAGCCACATTGAATAATCTCTTTTCCTGCTCCCTTTCACTATATTTTGGTTGTTTTAGTGGACTTAGTGAGGACAGGTAGCCCAAACTGGCTTGCTACACGCAGCCTGTGACCCATTTGATGGCGTTGATATAAACATTGTGAAGTCCTTTGGAATTAATAGCCTACCTTGAGGGTGGAACAGTCTCCTTGGAGGAGGAGCTTATCAGTAGGGCTTGAATATGTCATCTCCAAATATGTCACTTCAGCATACTGATTATTTTGAGGTGAAATAAATTTAAAACTATTTAGAGCAGGAAAGGCTTCTTATTCTCCTCAACATTCTATAGTGAAATATGAAAATCCCTCTTGGTAAAAAAAATTTCCATTAGAGGAAAAACAAAAATTAGAATGCTACTAGAGGACAATTTTTACGACCTGAGAGATTATTATTTGCATAGTAAGACAATATTGGTGATATGGACATTTCCATAATTTCTCTTCATTGCCTTCTAGACGCCCACAAGCCTGGTTCTTCTCTACAGCAGAGGATGGTTTATAAGCCTTGCTCACCAGCCCTTTTCTGAGTTGTATACACAGGAGAGAGAGAGAGAGAGAGAGAGAGAGAGAGAGAGAGAGAGAGAGAGAGACTACATTTATCTATCAATGTGAAGTGATTGTGTGTACACACATAAGCCATCACGTGAAATCTCATCATATAGAGATACTGGCCCTGTGATCTTGGACCCACAGAACTGGGAGCTAAGGAAACCTCATTTCTCTATAAAGCACCCAGACTCAGGTATTTTGTTGTGGCAACAGAAAATGAACCAGCCAACGAACATAGAGAGGGAGATGAAACAGTCTTTTGTGCCTTGTGGTAGCCCATCTGGAGCTGACAGATATTCTGTACGTAGGACTGTGGGGAGCAGAGAAACGGGGCTCACAAAGCTGTAGGACAAGTGGAAATGCACCAGCTTCTTTGTGGAGAAGGACCCGCAGTTTCTCTGTTTTCCTTGTTATTAAAGGTGTGTGTTTGGTGGTAAACAGTGAATAATCAGCCTTAGGAATTAGAAATGGAGGCTACTATCTTGTAAATTCTGTAACTTGCTGGACACCGCAACTTGAGCTCACTGAATACCATCCACAGCATTCTATGGTCCTCAGATCAGAGACACACTAGTGTGAATGACCTCACGGGTGTATAGGTAAGATAATGACAATAATGAGCTCTGAGCACTCATTCGAAGGAAACTGGCTTACTCACAGGCTCACAGCATTCACTCTTTAGGAAGCAACTGGAAAAGCCCTTGAGGAGAGGCATGAACCAATCCCAGTGGCCACTGGCTGGGTCCAGTACAGACTCTGGCCTGCTGGCAGCCTGACCCACAGAACCATCCCAGGAGACAGAGGCCTGTTCCCGCGGAGAGATGCTCAGAGGTAGGGTAGGAAGGACAGCAGGCCCAGAGCTGCATTAAGTTTTAACCAGAAAGAACAAAAAGAGCTAATTTAAGCCTTGCATTTGCAAATGTCACCTGCACTAGGATGGCCAGACTGAGGCAGAGCGTAGCGGTGCCAGCGGTGCAGAGCCAGGAGCCAAAGCGAGAACGGAGCAGCGCCACCCAGTTAGTCCACACTTTGAAGGCAGTGCTATTGTGAGGCTCGAAAAAGAGATCAAGAGGCTATTTAAATGCAAATGTGTCATAGAACCTACTGAAAGTGACGCACCTCCAAAATGCTCCCAGCCCGCCTCCCAGCAGCCTCTGCTCATAATGGGTGTTGTTATTTTTTCAATCTCTGAAAAGCCCTGTGTTACTGGAGTGCAGCTGGTGTGATTTACCTGGGGTAGGAGCAGTTCAGAGGGAGGTTTCAGGCTCCTGTAGGGCAGAGGGTCCTGTGCTTGCAATTAGCACCCACCAGGCTGTGCTGGGAACTCTCAGAGGCTTCTCTGCCCCCACATTACTTGCCTGACCACAAATTTACTCAGGTACTCGCACCAGCCGGAGACTCAGGTTCCCTGACCTGACTGAGTGGGCCGTCCACACAGCCTCTGAGTCTGAGGTGCAGGGTCTTTCAGCCACAGAGGACCAAGTGTGCTCCTGGAGCCCATGCCCGGGATTAAGAAAGCATTTCAAGGTCCCAAGAACGCACAGAAAACTCAAAGCAACACCAGACTGATTCAGAGGAGGCTGTGTCCGTGGATGAGCAGAGCCACCTAGCACAGTTCACCCACATAGATGGAGTCACGGGCCCAAGCAAGCAGGGTGGCTTGAGATTTCAGGATCTGTTCCATGCGTGCTCTAGTTTGGACTGAAATGTTCCCCCAAAGGACCGCGTATTAAAGCCTTGGTCCTGGCTTGGCGTTGCTGACTGGGGATGGGTTTGTTAGGACAAGAGGTTTATGGAAGATTTCAAACCTATGGGAGCATGGAGCATGTGTTCTTGCAGGGATGATAGAACCCCAGTTCCAGTCTCTCCTACTTTTTTTTCCCTCCTGTCCTGGGGTGAGCAGCTTGCTCCATCCTGTATCTCTTGCCATGTGCATCGCCTTACCACAGAACCAAGAACAGAGGGCCAGCAGAGCATGCGTGAGCCATCCTTCAGCGCTGTGAAGTGGAATCTCCACGTCTTCTCTCTGTAAACTAGTTATCTTGGATAGTTGTTTCAGCCACAGAGATGAAACAAAGCAGTGTGTGATCATACTGTAGAGCTCCCAAAGAGCAGAAACGTCCATATACAGCTAGCATTGGCATGACTGTAAGCAAGCCCCAATGAAATGCTTTTGTTACTAGGCGTCGCCTTGGTCATGGTGTCTTCACAGACATAGAGCAGTGATTAAGAAACCCCACATAAAAGCCAGGCACGATGGTGCTCATCTTGAACCTCAGCAATGGGGTGGTGGTGAAAGGCAGTCCCCCAGAGCCCATAGGCTGGCCAGCCTAGACAAACCTGTCAGCTCCAGGCTTGGAGACCCCATCTCACAAAATAATAAGGTAGAGCATCGTGAAGGAAGACACCCAAAGCTGACCTCTGACTTTTACATGTGTGCATGTATACATATGCACCTATGTATACACATATGTGTACACATGCACACGTTCACATAAATATACCCATACATATGTACAGAAAGAAAAAACACTCAGTAACTCCGGTGATATGATCAAATTATGTTATATTTATATGTCAAAATGTCATGATGAAACCATACAATTAACCCATGCCAACAAAAAGCAGAGCAGGAAGAACATACTCAAGAACTCACTAAACATTATAGAAACTTCTAAGTGAACAACAAGGTTACAATACAAGGTCAATACGCAAAAGCAGTTGCGCCCCTATATGCCTGCAATCAAGAATTCAAAAGTAAAAGTAAAAAAAAACAACTACACTTATATGGTTAGAGGGAGCTCTTTGGAAGCTCAATAATTGATTCCAGGAAGTCATGGTGCCAGGGACTGAAGAGCTCTTGTGACAGACCCGAAAATGCTATTGGAAGAATGCAGACTTTGGGTTAGGAGAGTGGTTGAGGGCTGTAAGCAGGGCGTAATGGGCCATCTTAGTAGGTGCCTGGAAGACAGTAATGCTAAGAGCAATGTGGACAATGGATGCCCAGCTCAGAGGTTTCAGAGGGGAAGAATATTAGCAACTGGCCTCCAGAATGTTCTGACGATATTTTGGCAAAGAATGTGGCTGTTTTTTGCCTTTGTTCTAAGAATCTGCTGGAGGCTAAATTGAAGTGGTTTGGACTAATGTCACTGGCAGAGGGGAATTCAAGCCAGCCAAGTATTGACTGTGTCTGTGGTTATTATCATTCTTGTGCAGGTCTACTGTTTAAAAAGCAAGGGAAGCAAGAAAGAAATACAAAAGAGCACCGTGAGATCTAACGGTGGAGTGGTGAAGTGCTGGTTTGCGCGGAAAGAGACAAGGAAAAATGAAAAGAAGGGATCAGTGCCTGCGGTGATGCCCACTCTGCTACTCCTACGACCTGTGAAGATAGCAGGCCCGGGGAGTCATCTGCCCCTAAGGAGCAACAACAAGGGAAAGCTTATGCAAACATAACTCTGGGACAGGGCCAGTTTCTATCCCAAGCAGGTAGAACTCGGCAGCTTTGGCCACGTGGCTCTGGAGTTAGATTCCAGAAGGATGGAGGAGTTGAGGGAAGCCATGAGTGTAGCAGGAAAGTCCCTTCATGGATTCCTGGAGAGGCCATGGTGTGAAGCTTTGAGAGTGAAGCCTGGATTGCCTTGAAGACTTGAAGATGCCGGAGATGCTGGAGCCATGGGATGTCTGCTGAGAAGAGCTACATACAGGGGCAGGAACAGCCCAAGAGAGAAAAGTATTTTTCAGTTAGCAAAGTTGCAAGGACAGAGCCATGTAAGCCCTTTGCCATTTGACATCAGACAAAGAGATACAGAATTTGGAGTTTGACATGTTTTTGTTTTGTTTTGTTTTTGCTTTGGTTCATTTCTCCATTAAGCCCTCTTTTCTATCTTCTGGAATGATAATGTATGTTTTGTGCCATTCTATGCTGGAAGTATGTAATTTGCTTTTCTATTTTTACAGGGAATGACCGTTAAGAGATTACACTGAATCTCAAAAGAGACTCTGGACTTTGGAACAGTGTTGAGACTGTAAAGAACTATGGAGACTTTTGAAGATGGACTTTCTTGCTTCTAATATGGCTACAAGTCTATATGGGCCAGGAATTGGAATATGGTGTTGAATGAGAATGGCCCACATAGGCTCACAGACTCGAATGCTTGGTGAGTAGTTGGTGAAATTGTTTGGAAGGGATTAGGAGGTGTGGTTTTGTTGGAGGAGGTGTCACTGGGGTGGGCTTTGAGGTTTCAAAAGTCCATGCCGACACCTGTGTCTCTCATTCTTCCTCTAACTTGACAGTAAGATGTGAGCTCTCAGCTGCTGCTCCATCACTGGGCTGCCTACTGCTACGCTCCCCACCATGATGATAACAGGCTCACCCTCAAACTGTAAGCAGCCTCCATTAAATGCTTTCTTTTATCAGTGGCCTTGGTTATGGTGTCTCTTCAGAGCAACAGAAAAGGAGCCACGACAGAAGTAAATTTATAGTTGATAGTTTGAGAGGAAAACACGCACAAATTAATTATCTACAAGAGGGACCATGTGAGAGAAAAATTGTTTTCCCAAAGTCCACTGAGACCAGGAGTTACACAGTGGCTTTGTGTGGGAGAATGAAGCAGGATACGGGCGCCACAGGAGTGCTTGTGCAGGGGAAGCCTTCCTCAGGGCTGCAGGAAGGACAGGCGGTAGTAGGGTTTGTGTAGATGTGGTTCAAACTACATCTACACGCAGTTCATCTTTCCCGAGTGATGAGATTCCTAGCAGGCGACTGGTGGCAACCGTGTTCACCTTTGGAGGCTCTACCTTCAAGCATTGAGGAAACCATGGAGGGCTCGCCTGTCTGCACTTAAGAGAGACGCGAGGAAGAGGCATGAAGGTTGGGGGTGCTGTGGACACTCCTTCAGACAACAGCCTTTAAGACACCAGCCCACTTTGGGCACAATCTCATGTACTATAAGTGCAGATGAAAAGCATGGGTAGCCCCTTTTTCTGTTGCATTTGGTTCCGGTTCCCAGCTCATGCAGAAGACTGCAGATTGCTACCCTTACTGTGAGTTTATCCCCAAATAAATATACCTTTGTTATACTCCATCCCGGGCTATTGTGGAACCCTTTGGTACTACTACAGGGGGACGGCAAGATGGGCTTGCTTCTGTCATGAAGTACTAACTGTGATATTGGGGAACTGTTTTCTTAGTTCCCCAATAGCAAGAATAGGTTTAACTAAAGACATACAAGACTGAAGTACTAAAAATTACAAACCTTGTTGGAAGGAATTAAAGACTGAAAAAGTGTACACAGCCCGTGATCATGGGTTGGAAGACCACATTTTTTCAGGGAGGGGAGAACCACTTAAGAAGAGTTTCAGATGGCTCTGTCCAGGCCAGCAGGGAAGGTGGCAGAGTCCTCTCCCAGGCTGGCAGATCCGCAGCAGAGAGTGGTCAAAGCTAGGAGCTAGACTCATGTCCTTTGGAGAGCTGTCTTAGTGACCTATTTCTGTTAGCCTGGCCCCATCTCCTGCGACTTCCACAACCTCCTGAAGCCACCACCCGCTGGGGAATACATGCTGACAACGTGAGCCCCTGAGTGATGTTTCAGATTCAAGCCATAGCATTCCCAGACACCAAAGACTCGTGACAGTCTCACAATGCAAAATGATTTAGTTCAACTTCAAGACTCCCCAGACTCTCAACAGTTCCAGTGCTGCTCAAAATCGCCACACTCCTCTGAGACCAAAGGCAAATTCTTAACCGTGAGCCCTGTAAACTACTAAAGCAAGCTTTTCACACTTCCAACACACAGCGACACAACAGCAGGGCAGGAGTGGACCACAGCTCAACCAAAGCCCAGGAAGAAGAGAGCATCGTACTACAGTCCCAGAGCTGGCATCCGGGGCGTAGCGCGGCACCGTTTGCGCTCCAGGGGGCTTGGTGAGGCCCCTTTGCACGTGGTGCCTTGGACTGGCTGTACTCCACGCCTGCAGTTTTCCTGACTCGCGCTGCGACATCCTGTGCTCTCCGCTGCAATGATGGCTTCACTTTAGCTTTGCAGACAGCCCACTCAGGTGCAGGGTGTCTCCGAAGTTTGTCGTGGCTTCGCTGTCTCATGCTTCTTTCTAGGTTTTCTTCTTCTTCTTCTTTTTTTTTCCCCAAAGTTTTACTTATTTTATTTCATATGTACAAGTGTTTCGCCTGCCTGCCTGTATGTACACCAAATGTGTGCCTGTGCCTTCAGAGGTCAGAAGAGAGTGTTCTATTTCTCAGAACTGGAGTTATATAGATGGTTGTATGCCACCATGGGGGTGCTTGGAATTGAAGTCAGATTCTCTGTAAGAGTCGTCAGTGCTCCTAATCACGGAGCCATCTCTCCAGCGCCCTCTGGAGAGGCCTCTTTCGTCCTCCAACCCCAAGATGCCTATGGATATGGATGTTTTCCCTTTTCCAGAATCACAGAATATTAACTCGATAATATTTTAATATTAAAGACATTACCAGAACTTTAACATATGCAATAGCCACATGACAGAAGTTGACAATAGAAAGAGACAAAGCACATCCTGACGCACACGGCAGTACAGAGGAACGCCAAAAGTGCCATGCTTAGGGGAGAAAGCTTACAAACTCTACTGGGATTTCATCCACGTTGTGGTGGTTTGGAAGAAAATGGCCCCCAGAGGAAGTTGCACTATTAGGAAGTGTGGCTTTGTTGGAGTAGGTATGACCTTGTTAGAGGAAGTGTGTCACTGTGGAGGTGGGCTTTGAAGTCTCATATATGGTCAAGATACTGCCCAATGTCATAGACCACTTCCTGTTGCCTACAAGATGTAGGACACCCAGCTGCTTCTCCGGCACCATGTCTGTCTGCACTCTACCATGCTACCCGCCATGATGAAAATGGACTAAATCTCTGAAGCTGTAAGCCGCCACCCCAATTAAATGTTTTCCTTTATAAGAGTTGCTGTGGTCATGGCATCACAGCAATAGAAACCGTAACATGCCTAAAATAGTCCAGTTCATAGATAAAGAGAGTTTCGATCGTGTAGGGTAGAAATTTGAAGGGAAATGGAGAATGGGCAATATTAAATATCAAGTATCTTTCACTGTGTAGCCCTGGCTGACCTGGAACTCACTACGTAGACCAGGCTGACTTTGAACTCGTGTAGATCCAGAGTAGATCCACCTGCCTCAGCCTTCGAGGGCTGGTGTGCTCCACTTTCTTATCACTTACGTTAGACATTTTCCGGAATGTGTTATCACTTTGCCTGTAACAGCTGCCCAGGAAGAAGGGCCTGTCCGCCTTCGCAGACGCTTGCTTTTCCGTGGCACTCCGCATCCCCACACCTCTCCCAGCTCCCTGGACAACCCAAAGGGTCTAGTGGAGACAATATGGAGACATAGGAAAAGAAAGTTGCTTCTAAAGACCTAATGGCTGCTGCGCATCTCAGAGGCTATTTTCTTGGGTATCTACGCCACCTGCTGGAAAAAGTTACCAAACACTTTAAAATGCTTAATGTTAAGAATTCTATTACCATTTTTTCTCCATTTCTGAGAAAATGTTATTATTGGTCTTTTGGATAAAATGTATTTGTCAGGAAGAACAATGCCTGCACACTTCAGGGCACAGCGTCCTCTCTGCTGATCCTGATATGGCCCCTGGGCAGCCTGTCCTGCGCTTCTTGTCTGTGGTGCCGAAACCTCACCTATGCAGGATGTCACAGAAGCCCGGCCATACGTGCCAATTCTCGGGTCATAGTTTCATGGCCCGACCAACGTGTTCTTGATTTCCAAAGCCAAAATTTCCCATATCCGAGAAGTTATTTTTCCGTAGCTCATACTCCTGCCCCTTCAGGCCTTTCTCCAGGATTTCTTCCGCTTGGCTCCATGGACTGCGTGGCAAACAGCAATCTGTTCATTTCTCCTGCTGCCAAAGGACATGACAATGTATCTAGCTTTGGGAAGCACAGGTGTCTGGCTTGTAAGTAGTTCCAGCACCTTGGCTGCCTGGGTCAGTCTAGCTCTACCCCCCCCCCCCCACAGATATGGGGCAGGCAGAGCTGTCTGCTCAGCGGGCAGAGCATGCCATGGTCCTAATGCCCTAGAGAGCTGGACTCGCCTGATGAAACTCCTATTATAGTTAGTATTCATTAACTTTTTTTTTTTTTTTTTTTTTTTTTGGTTTTTCGAGACAGGGTTTCTCTGTAGTTTTGGAGCCTGTGCTGGAACTAGCTCTGTAGACCAGGCTGGTCTCGAACTCACAGAGATCCGCCTGCCTCTGCCTCCCGAGTGGCACCACCACTGCCCGGCTTTACTTTTATTTTCTATGTGTGGGTATTTTGCCTACATACATGTCTGTGCACCACACGCATGCACTGCCGAGAAAGCCAGAAAAGAGCATTGGATCCCCTGGAACTGGAGTTCCAGAGACAGTTTGGAGTTGCTACGGAGGTGCTGGGAGCCAGACTTGGGTCTTCTGGGAGAGCAGTTGGTGATCTTGACCCCAGAGCCATCTCTCCAGCCGCAGTACTCACTAATTCTTGGCTGTCACCAGGCCTGGCCATCGCTCACTGTTCAGGAGTCTCAGGCCGGAAGACCACGGGTGGTCCCCATGAGACTGACTGCTGATGCGCTCACTGCTTCAAAGAAGGCATTTGTCCTGCATCCCCATGCAAGTTTGCGGGTGCATTACAGTTTGCAACGTTCCC